GAGGAACCTGGGATACTAGTCGGTAAGCAATGACACGTAAGACGTGTCAAATACGACAGTATAGAAGTCGGAGGAGACTGAACCCAACGTGTATTGTGCAGGCTACAAGAATAGGAAGCGAATCAGACGGAGCGAGAGACGTGCAGCAAGGAACTCACCAAAACGGTTTGTGTCCATGGATGTGCAGTCAGTTAAACAAATGGACGTTTCGAAGGTTAAAACAACCATAAAATCCAATGTTATAAGATACTGAAAGAGCATGTTTTCAGTTGCACTACACACCCTCACTCAAACCCCCAACCTGTAGGACCAGGTGGCTGAGTTTGTCTGGCCTCTAACCATTGATCCATCTTGTATGAGTGGCTCTGAAGGTGCAAAAAGCACCACCTAGCACAGCTCAATGGATCACTAAGGTGCGCAAATCATCGCGTCACGATAAGGTCCAGCGTCATTGCGATAGATGACGCACCTTAATCAAGCTTGTTTGCAATTCTGGAGCTCTTGTGACTATTCTGATTCTAAACCTATGTGTGCCTGCGTGATGTATTGGCGGAGTAATCCGCCTTAGCTTTACTCGCAGTCCACGAATTGCGGACGTCAATCTGAATTGTAACGCCGGTCATCGCTGATGAAGTGCTTTGTGAAGTGATTGCGTATTGTAATAGGTTGCAGTATTCGAGGCTTCTCATTCACCCAGTTTGCTTCCTTTGACTGGTGAATAAACTCCATGAGCATCGATTAGACTAATGGAAGCATGAAGTTATCGATTCCCGTGTCGGTAATACTCAGAATTGGGTGGTGACGTTGGAAGATGAGATGTTAGTATTCTCGCCGAGCCGATAACTTTGACTACAGACATTTTGTCACAAGGATAGGTAACGTCTTTAGTCATTGCTAGTACCAGGACTAACCTAATGGACACTATTTGGCGCAACGATTAAATGTCATCTAAGCTGTGTTTGTACGCTATCATGTCCATTGTAAAAGGATTCAAAGGACGTCCGAACATCATCGTGGTGTCCTCTCCTTTCATCTAACTCCAGACTGGTGATGGTATCGTTCTACGGTGACTCATTTATCCTGGAGAAGGTTTACATTAGTCAGGTTTGCATCTAGTGGATTGAGAAGGTTTTGCACAGTGTCATTCCTGCAGAATGCAATGATAGTTTTCGTTAACCTGGAAATTACCGTTGCTTTTTGAGCGCATCTTTTTGGGGTGGTCTGTATTCGAGTGTCGCACTCTAAACTGTCTCTTCTACAGAGTCCCCTTTGCGACGACACCAAAAGCCGTATATGAGCCTTGGTTCACCACATCATATCTAGTGCGGCGGGACCCTTTGTCTCTCCGTTTATCTTTATTTTTATCATTGGAGCTATTATTAGTGGCTCTGTCGTGTCTTATTTCTCGGGAGTAGCTTTCGTGTTTGTTGCTTTACGAGTAGTGTGCGGACAATGTGGCTTTCTTTGGACCGGAGCCGACTGCTACGCAGCCACCGTTAAATAGAATGATGCATAGCACTACACAGTCCAGCATCTGCCTTGCGCTTTCAATGTGTAAAGTGCTATTACAGGATTGAATCAATACATCATTCGTTTCCACGTTCACTGAAATGCTGGCGTCTATCTTGTAACCCTGAGGTCACCGGTTCGATCTGCGTAGGTGCGGGAGATTTCCGTGTATACATAGCCCACACGCGGCTGTTAATGGTCACTTGGCAGCGAATCGTCGGCGCGACCCACTGGCGTAGTGCTGAAGCCAGAACAGTTACTCAATGTGGTCAAATATTCTGTTTGTCTGTGTCGCTACCATCCTGGAAATGGTGTCTTAGAATCTTTTACTGTGTTTGACCGTTGTCCGTCACTTATGCAGCAGCGGTATGTGAGCTTTTTGGTTTAGGGATGGATTTTACACGTTGTAGCTAGTCCATTGTTACCTAATGGATCTGAGCTCGGTTCACTACTACTGAGGTTGACCGGGCTTTTTGCCATCGATGTCTAAGAAGTATTGCTAGCATCGGGTGCCGAAATTGAGAAGCACCAGTTTGTCTTGGCTATTCCATGTTTGTCTACCGTCACTCTGGTTCCGCATTGGAGACTCAGTTGCATTCTAACCGGCCCAAACCGGCTGGGTCATGTCATCTTCATTCTCACCAGCCGACCGCCTCAGTATGTTTTGTTTACCAACGCGCGACTTGGTGGCCAATCAGCTACATTGCAAAAGAGCGAGAAGAAATTCATTGTAAAGTTAATTAGAATTGGTTCTTGTCATCTTACCATTTTGGGCCCTAGAGATCAGCCACATCAGTAGCTAGGTAACCAATGAGATGGATTTACATCGGTAGTACCGTTTTTTCATTCACTTTTTTGATTTACTGCGAATAATTGCCTCTTCTGACAATTTTGTCTTTTGTTTAGATTACAAGATAGATTGGCCAACTGCCTATCCGGAAAAGCACCAGGCGGCCACTTTTTCCTCTTGGGGTTCATCAGCGACGAGTCAGGCTATATCGCAGTTAGATTTCAATCCGTGACGGTCAGCTGTCGTTCACATGGCTCAGTGGAATAGGATGCTGGCTAGTGGGGCAAGTCACTAGCAGTCACGATTTCGATTTTCTGAAGGAGACCGATGGAATACACATCATGGCAAGCCATCTCAAGGACGAATCGGTGGCCTGATGCTTTTCCGGCTTGGTAGTTGGCTTGACTGGGTTGTACTCTGATTGCGAGTAGTCAGTTCTGTCCATTATTTGTTCTTGAATTACGATCACCATTATTCTTATCCTTCTTACTTTAGCAACACGAATCACGTTTGTTTCATTCACCACTCATCATTGCCCGGATACTCGTTAGTCAATTAAACTGATTTACTGAGTTTAGGGTACGTTCGACTTAGTCGACCGCTTCGTCTCCCTCGATGTGTTTCTCTGCGAACTGTGTGAGCATTTGGGCTGCCTTGTAGTCGAATACTTCAGGTTGCGTCTGGCTTTGTTGCGAAGTCTAAACCATCTTTCCTTTCGTAAATTACATTCGTCAGAGCTGTCCCGTTGTCGTTGCTTAGCTCTATAGCGACCGTATTTGGAGCAGTCGCTGAACGACGTGGCCCTCGATACAGTAGTTTGATTTTGATCGGCTCACGCGATTCGTTTGTCTGCCCGCGACTTCCATGCTTCGAACGAAGCAACCAGTCTAACAGCGCACATCCGGCTGTTCATTGGGACCATCTAGGTCGTTTCCTTAACTTAGTGACGCTCCCACATTCTATCTTTTGCCTGCAACAACTGCTTTCTATCTCAACTGATTCCACCCCTCTTACAGTCATTGTCAGAATCGTCTTCTATTGCGTAATGTACTCTTATCCTAACATGTCGATGAAAGCAGGTGGGTAGGGAAAACCCGGTGATATTACCCGAATGGTCGGTCATGACATATGGTAAGACGTATTGGTTGATTAATGGTTTCAATCTCCGACATATAACAGTGCACGAAAATGTGTGACACGGTTTATCGAGCATTTTTTTTCGCACTGCGGCTCGGGGGATTCATTCTTTTGCAGTTCAAGATTCGAGGGAAAGCTGGAGATCAGGAATTCAGTTTCATTTGTCCGTGTTGTGCGGGCATTGCGTTTCCCAATTTCTAAGCCGTGGGTTAACTTAGGAGACCCACAGTGCAGTGAAGCGATTGACATTTACTGTGAGTCTTTGGAACTGGTTGCTAAATTTATGCTGACAGGACTCTCCGGTAATGTTAAGCCATTTGTGGCTTCCAAAGAGCCCTTGAAGGGCCGTACGGAGATTTGGAAAAGCTTCTTTGGCTATCGATAACCCTGACATGCAAGAAAGTCCGTAACAACAAAGTTCAAATCATGGTGAACACATAATTTGGTGGCCACCAAGTTTGTTCGTTTGGGTCCTATCTCCGATCATCCACGACTGCTTATTCATCTCACCTACGAAGCAAATGAGACATTTTCACAGTTTTACCCCTGGGGACGCACCCACAAACGGACAACTCCGCCAATAGCGGAAGTGTAACGACAGTCTCATATCAAGCCTCTTCCTTCGTATATCCACATAATGACCATCTTTTGAGTTACTAGTCGTCATCACGATCATCATTTTTCTCGATGTGATGAAAGTCAGCCTCCTTAAAATCTCCCTTTCAACAAATTATCAAATACTTCCTTTGCAAGATTGCTCGCTTCCAGCGCTACTCAAATAGGATTTCGTATTGTAATCCGGACATACAGAACGTACTCCGAAACCCATCGTTGGATCTATGTCACTGTTAAAACTTTTGAAATTTCCCCACCTACGCCGTTTCACTTCCCGAAATTCCCTCTCTCGCTTCGCGCGCCTCTGATGGGTTTTGCTTCGGTTAAATTATCACACGTTCGAAGCGTGTAAGGACACTGTACAGCTATGTAGATAGATCATCTTTGGTCTGCTAAATTCTACGGTTCGAATTCTAGTAAATTTCTTCCAAGAAGATCTTGTGGGTTTTGAAGAAGAGCGCCCGTCAGTACTTTTTACGTGAAGTTATCTGCACGCCTAGGCATTCGTTACTATTTGATTACTAGCCGTGCGTCCCTTGATCAATGAGAGGCAATGTTCATATAGTCACATATGTTGGAGGCCTGCACGAAATGTTTCGAACCGACTGCTTCACTGAAGCGTTTTCACCTCGATATCAAGCGGATTATGCCATCCTATTCCTACCGATCGATATACGTCTCTTTGATATCCTTACTTATGCTGTAGAGTTTCTCTCATTTACTTATTGCGGTCGTTTTCTGCTTGATATACTTATCCCCCTCACATTATCCCTTGATTCTGTCTGCTACATGCCCTTGAGAGCAGGCAGCGTTTCCATTTCGTCTCTACCGTAAACCTGTTACGTACATAGGTAAACATGTACGTACTCTGTTGCCTTTGCGTGCAACGATCGCACGCGGTGAATGGGGAAGCAAAATTGCCTCCGCAATTACGAGGCATTTGATGCGCACCAGTCACCAAGTAAACCAGAATGAGTCATTCACAGTCCTCGTGTGCACTCAAAGACTTCACATTCTCAAGCTACTCTAGGCCATTGTGATCGACTGACAGCGCCCACCACTGTTCAAAACAGCTGACAGTGACATTAAGCCTACCGTGGTCACGTGCAACGCACCAATCGGGAAATACTTGACCAATACTTCTTTCCATTCGTTGTTTTGCATTGCTTGTATGTGGTTGACGAGTATGCACGAAATGAAACTGTCATCCCACAATCTTCATCTTCTGATATTCTTATTTAGAATGCACAGTTCGTAACTGGCATGGCAGTGGAAGATGATTCGGGCTATATCATAGGCAACTGTCTATCGCGCAGGTCCGCGGCTGTCACCCATGGCGAAGTGGCACTACCTGCTGGCATCCTGAAGTCATGGGGGCGGAACCCGGCAGAGGTCCGCTGGGAGGCGCACCACTGACGAGACCCAGAAGGTCGAAACGCCGGCGTCTGGTGCTTTTCCAGACTAGCCTAAGCCTGCTGATTGGGAGTGACAATGACGAATTAGCTGAATTATTTAGAATTGACAAGTGAGTAATTACTTGTTTATCCTTTTTTTTACCTTACTGTGTCAGGGCATTCAAACGACTACAATCCATTTTCAACGACATACAGACAAGGTGCTTTATCACCGAGGAATCTCCCAGTCATTTGTCGAAAGATTCCAAAGATCCCAATGGCCACTCACTCCAGCCAGCCTCAACTGAAGGCGATTTCCACGCAAATTTGCTCCAAATAGTGAGTTTTGCCTTGCTTTATTGGTTACTGCGTCCTTAGCTTGAGACCACGTGTTTTCAACTGTTTCGTAAAATTGGCAACATCAGGTATCTCTCTATCTTGTCAAATTACCATTCAACCCAAGGATACCTGGCGTCTTTGTTTACCTTCGCTTTCGTTTCCGAAGGATGACGCTTAAACTAGAATAGACGCTGGTAGCAGCGTTGGTATGCTGAATACTGTATTATGAAGCAAGTAGAAATGAATTCTGTACAACCCTTTCGAAATATGGTGAAAAACGTTATAAAAATTGTCAGCCGTGAATATCGTTCTCGTTCTCATGTAACATTTAGGATCTGACTCATGATATTTCAGAACTCACGAATGTAATATATCATCGTAAGTGTGCAATCGTTCTCTGAATCGAATAGTGATAAAATAGAAATCCAACAACGTTTTGAGCTACTGCGTAGATGTTGCCTCCATCACATGTTCAAGCCACCTGTTCCAACTGTTTGCCACTCTCCGTTCGAACCACAGTGGGTGGGGAGCTCGCTTCACATCCGACACGACAAGTTTGTATCTGTGTCCGCATGTGCTGCATGTCCCTCGTAAGTGCAGCATGGGCCTCAGCACGGGAAAGTCACGGAGATGTAGAATACGGTAGGTCATAATGAGGTCGACTCGCACCCGACGGTAGGACAAGGTGTAGAGTCCTAGTTTCTTGCACCGGTCTTCATTTCCCATGCCACAGAAACTCGGGATGAGCCTGGTAACAACGTGTTGGACCCGTTCGATCTTTTGGACCTCGCCTCGGATAATCGAAAAGTAGGCGGGCTAACCATACTATCCCGTTGGTGTAATGATGGAAGAGAAGAAGCGATTGACAACCACTTCCGACCATGTGCCGATACTACGTTCGGGCGCCCAAAGCATGCGCAGTCCGTTACGATATAGCCTGTTCGTGTTGTCCCCGGACTTCAAATCGTAGCGCGAGTGTTCACCTAGGTCCTTCACGTAGGGTTTGGGATATAGCGGTAGGCCGTCAAGGGTGTAGGTTCTGCAGTCAGCACCTTTCCCCAGGCTCATACATACGGACTTGGCTAGATTGACCAGGAGATGAACTTCTGCAGACCATGTGGATAAGCGGTTGAGGTCTTGCGGAACTACAACCCGGTTGTCGGAAACGTCAATTTCTCCAAATCTTCATATCATCCGAAAACAAGGCACACGGCGACCGGAGAAGCTGAGGTAGATCGTTGATGTGGATCAGAAACAGAGTGGGCCCCAGCACGCCACTTGTAGAGGGATATCAGTCAGTTAGATGGTCCTCGACTTGTAACCCCTACTTTCGTCCAAAAAGAAAGTCGCGGATCCACTGGTGCAGCGAGCCACCGACACCTCACATCTTGAGTTTGTGAAGCAGAACCTCATGGCTGACCTTGGCGAACGCTTTACTGAAATCAATGAATATCACGTCGACAGACTTCCCCTTGCTTACTGCCTTCAACCACTCATGACTCGTCACAAGGAAGTTTGTAATGCATGAGCTTCCTTGCATAAAACCGTGCTGTGCTGGCGTTAGGACCTCTTTTGACTGTAGAAACTGCAATAATCCCTTTTTTACGATTTTCTCAGCAACCTTTGTCAAAATAGGTGTCAGACAAATTGGCCTGTAGTTGTCTACTTTGCTAGGGTCGCTGCCTTTCGGAATAGGCTTCATCACTGAACATTTCCAGTCAATCCTCAACGAACCTTCGGACGGAGACCTGTTGAAATGGTCAGTCACGACAAGAGAGATGATGACCGAATGTCACTTGAGAATCAGTGGGTGAAGGCCATCACGTCCGGCAGGTTTGGTGTCGTCAAGGCTGGCGAGTAGTTGGCATACCTCAACGCCGCAATCCAGACTGTGGAGTTCGGTCAAAGTAGTATACGTCAAACTCGGAACAGACACCTGGTTATTTGCAAATACAGAAACAAAGTGCACCACCAACGCGGACGTACGCTCAGGGTTGAAGGTTAGGGGCTGTCTGTCATGGTCATGCAGCACTGGCACATCACCTGCCGGCTTCAGGCGTCGCTTCACGTATGCAAAGATTCTCTTTGGGGCGGTCTTTGCGGCGATTGCGAGCTGCTCTTCGAAATGTCGGCGCTTATTCCTTTTAGCACGGTTGCAGATGTTCCGCTGACTTCTATACGCTTCGTAGTCATTGGCAGAGCCAAAGAAGAGGAATCTGTCCCACAGTCTGCGCCGCCTCCGAGCCAGATTTCCATACTCCTTGTCGAACCCATTAGGCTTAATCGGTTCAACCTTTTGACATTTCAGTGGGACAACTTGGGAACACAATGATGTTAATCTCTCTTTTATAAATATCCAACAGTCTTCCACAGATGCAGTTTGTGACAGACCAATCCAGTTGGCTCGCGTCTCGAGCTAGACCGTCAAAGTTCGTCTTCCAGTAATTGTAAGCTGGTTCTAGCGGACGTGAATACGGCAAAGGTAATTCAATATCAGTATTGAGCACTGAGTGGTCGCTTGTAGCCAGGGGCTCTAGGATCTGAACTTCATGCACTCTTTATTCGTAGCTCCTTAACATCAAGTCGAGACAGGACGGGGTTCAGCGTGGTTTTATGCGTGTTGGCTGGCATATGTGTTGCGATGCACCAGTTTCAAGTACCAAATCCACGAACTTTGCCTCAACCTCACTATGTCCAGGCATCAAATGCACATCAGGCCATCGTATTCGAGGACAGTTAAAATCCCCCATAAGTTGAAAATCTGGACGACTCATGTGGGTTGGAAGATGGGGCAGCCAATCCACTCAGCGACTCAGGGGTCCGCGATAGACTGCGCCCACAAGTAGTTCCATGCGCCTGAGGCGGATGGAGCACCACCGTAGCTCATACAAACCATCATCACTTCGGTAAGTGCTCACAACTCTCCCACGCAGGGAAGACCGGATGTAGAGCAAGACACCGGCTGGCTTGCCAAACAATCTCCTCGTGGTGTCAGCTGGGTGGTTCGGGATTTTCCCGTTCCAGCAAATGGTTCGGCGACAGTGTTCCAGGACGTGGTGTGTTTTCTCCTGGCAATCGTTCTCCTTACAAAAAGCCGCATATTTCCGTTTAACAACAGTGTGACGTGGCGGACGTGACTCGCCACTAAATAAAGTCACTGCTCCTTGCTTCATCCTGGCGAAGCATTGTATTCCAGCAACTTTGTGCTGTAATTCTGGGGAGCATTGGGCCCCTGTTTGACAAAGAAACAAACGAAAGGCGTATGAACTGAGCAATCAATCACCGGCTCCTAATGGGTGCGATTCCCTAAATTCGCTCCGCTGCCTTGCCGTCAGGCTATTTAGCCAAGCCTCGGGGTGGTGTCCCCTAAGTCAACACTCTACTTCGGCTTGGGCAACTGGGTAGTATCTCGCCCTCTGACGAAACCATGGACTTTAATGTGTTGTTTTTTCTTTTACAATTTCTGTACCTTCTTTTGTGTTCCATGGTTTCTGATGGCTGTATGTCTATTCCTAGACTTGCATATATATATATATATATATATATATATATATATATATATATATATGCTGAGGCTGATGTTGCATTCTTGATGCTTCTTCACCGCAGTTGGGCTAAACCAACTTACACTTAAACTAGGTCTTTTTAATGTGGATAAAATCGATTACACTTCATTTGGTTTTTTTCTGCGTAGCTGATAATCTTCTCCCAACTTACACACCTCGCTCATGCAAATTGTGGAAAACTTGCGTAATTTTATCGCGTGGTATGTTTTTAATAACTTTCGCACACTTTATACTTATCGCGAATTCACATTTAACCATTTTCTTCCATATGCTCATTTAGCCAGTATCTATGTCGTCACATGCGTTTACTTTATTCCATATCGGCATTTCGAATGATTGGCTGTTGTTTGACATCCCCGGTGTGACTGCGCTTGATGTGCATGTTGACAAGGTGCCTATCTGTCTATTACCCACTACCTCGTCCATACTGGCTCCAGGAGACAGTTGGTCGTTGCTGGAGGGGACGGGGTGCACGGTCCTTGTGGCCGTGCTAGGCTCGAACAGTGGTTCCATGCACTCAGTGTGGGGCGGACTACGGTGCAGCCACCGCCTTGTGTGCGCTTGATTCCCCAAATACAGTGTGCTTGTGTTTGCCTGTGAAGGAGTGTGGGCCGGCTCCGTTGATGAAACATGGCTCCCATCCGCATGCCTCCCGGTCTTATTCCTTATTCCTTATTCCTGTGGCTGGCCACAGGACGCCTGCGCCTACAGAGGGACCATGGATGGCTTGCGCTGCACCACCCACAGCTCCATCCACACACCCCATATCCAGTGTAAACCCGAAGGAATAAGACCGGGAGGCATGTGGATGGGAGCCACGTTTCATCAACGGAGCCGGCCCACACTCCTTCACAGGCAAACACAAGCACACTGTATTTGGGGAATCAAGCGCACACAAGGCGGTGGCTGCACCGTAGTCCGCTCCACACTGAGTGCATGGAACCACTGTTCGAGCCTAACACGGCCACGAGGACCGTGCACCCCGTCCCCTCCAGCAACGACCAACTGTCTCCTGGAGCCAGTATGGACGAGGTAGTGGGTAATAGACAGATAGGCACCTTGTCAACATGCACATCAAGCGCAGCCACATCGGGGATGTCAAACAACAGCCAATCATTCGAAATGCCGATATGGAATAAAGTAAACGCATGTTGTATTTGGGGAATCAACCGCACACAAGGCGGTGGCTGGACCGTAGTCCGCTCCACACTGAGTGCATGGAACCGCTCTTTGAGCCTTGCACGGCCACAAGGACCGTGCGCCCCGTCCCCTCCAGCAACGACCAACTGTCTCCTGGAGCCAGTATGGACGAGGTAGTGGGTAATAGACAGATAGGCACCTTGTCAACATGCACATCAAGCGCAGCCACATCGGGGATGTCAAACAACAGCCAATCATTCGAAATGCCGATATGGAATAAAGTAAACGCATGCT